TATGGCTTATGTAATGTTTATATGTTATGCTTTTAGTAGCAAATTCACACTTAGAGATATGACATTTCCATTTGTCTTTAATTATTTAGATAATTTATAATGGAAATAATGTATTTTATAATATAAAATTTTAGAAATATTACATAGTTTAGTAGAACGGTTTTTTTCTTTTTTCTTAATTAGTCTCTAACTTTTGTTTAGAATATATTCCTTATTTTTTTTTTGTTAAAATTGGAAATATTACATAGTTTAGTAGAACGATTTTTTTCCTTTTTCTTTATTAGTCCATAATCCTTGTTTAGAATATATTCCTTATTTTTTTTTTAAACATTTTAGTTAATATTGACACATGTCACAATATAAATTAACAATTACATATATCACAATCTGGTGCTTAAGAATTTTGTCTACGTGTCAAACTCTCATCGCGCGCATTCTCCTTTATATATAAGATTCACACATGTACCAAATAGTGTATTTCGTTCATAACAGTAAGAAAAAGTGTTAACTAAATATATCTATGGATTGAGGTTGTTATATATAGTACAACTACAACATCTCAAAAGAACCACGGTTTTTTTTCTTTCTTAAAATTTAATTGAATAGTTATGGATCGAAACTTGTATATCTCTCTGTCAGAAAACATTCATCTCTTTTTCAAACGAATATGAAACTAAACTAGAAAATGCACAACTTTTAAAATGTTCAAATTAAAAATCGCTACTAATCCAAGACACGTTTAGTAAACAAAACCAAAATATTCACATAATGACTACAAATTCCGAAGTTAAACTAGTATGAACTTTAGTTCTTCAAACTCGATTATAATAAAAAAGAAAAAAAAGAGGAAAAATAGATTCGAAGATGCAAGATTGATAATGAAATACAATTGAGGGTACATGAGGGGGAAGTGACGTTTAAAAACAAAAAGGAAACAAAAAAGAGAAAGAAGATAGAAGATAGATGCTTATTTAATATCATGACAACTATGAAGCAAAGTTAGAGTCCGTCCATACAAGTATTTTGTGTGTGTACCACCGAATTTGTCTGTCTATGTTACTATCTCCCTTCTTTTTCTCAATGCCCACGAGCCACCATGACAATTATGTTTTGTTCCTTTGTAGTATATGGAGT